CGGGCGTGGGTCCTCGGTCCCGGCGCCGGCCCGACGCTGGCGGACATTGAGGCCGTCTGGCCGTTCCACTGGCTCTACGAGCTCCCCGGCGCGCTGACGCCCGAGCGCTTCGGCGAGGCGCGCTACCCCCGGGTCCACGCGTGGATCGCGCGCTTCCAGGCGGCCGTCGCGGCGGCGAAGAAGCGCGCCCCCAAGACGCCCAAGGTCTCTGGCGAGGAGGCGGCGAAACGGATCGCGGCCGCGCCGACGGCGGGCGCCGGCGACGTTGATGCGAGCGATCCGGTGGCGGTCCGCGAGGGGCTGAAGGCGGGAGACCGCGTTGTGGTGTGGCCTACCGACACGGGGTCGACGCACAAGGACGCCGGCACGCTGGTGGCCCTTGACAAAACCAAGGTTGTCTTTACGGTGGAGGGCCAGCAGGGTGCGAAGACCAGAGTGCATGCGCCTCGTCATGGCTTCAAGGTCAAGAAGGCGAAGGCAGAGGGGCACGCTGGTGCGAAACTCTGAATGTATCGATTTTTGTACAACTAGAAAAGTCCGCCGTAACACGGGGTTCTGTCCTACGCCTTTTCCTCACATCAGCCTCGTGATAGTGTTGGCACACCGATGAAAACGCCTTATTGCGTCGTCTTGAATATTAGGTTGAGCAGGACCGCCTCAGCGTCAATCAATGCGATGAATCCCACAAACGAAAAACCTCCTTCCTGCTTAGGGGTATCAGCGTATACTGGAGACATAGCTGAACGTCTGCACATTCGTGCAGTGATGTTGGGATTAAGGCAACTGCAGTCATGAGGCTCAAATTGTACAACGGCCTTATGACGTAGACATCCGCCGTCGTGGGTTGAGTATGGGGAATGATCACTTGGCGACATCGAGATGGAGATGCAAACGGCCCGAGATGTATTGAGGCGGGGGGAGGGGAGGGAGGGAGATCGGCTCCGGGGCCGCGCGACTGAACGACCCGGGCACACAATACATGCACATCTCCATATCACACGCGGTTGTTTCACGAGTTAGCCTTGAGATGGTCATCGAGATCTCATGCCCTCGAGCTCGATCACACTGCAAACAGCATACATGGGCTTGGATCACAGCAACGTTCTTCTGCTCTCGTTGGATTCGTGATCGCGCTTGATCAGATGAGACGACAACACAGTATCGCCAGTCCACTGCGCAAGGTATCCGCTGTACGGTCGTTGGACCAGTGAGGCGGTCATTGGGCCAGTGATGCGTTTGTTGGACCAGTGACGCGGTCGATAGCGTATAGTATGCAAGAGAGGGCAGCGTGTGCACACACTGTACCCTTCCAAGAGAGCCGTATCGGACGCGTGTCGTGCGGCATCCTGCACTTCGTCGATAGCTGAGCATCCAGAACGGCCCAAACTGCTGGTGATGGGCCGAGAGAAGGAGGTGGTGAAGAAAGGGTTACGTCATGGCCGGCTCGCACGATAAACACAACTCTATGGAACTGCGGCGCGTTTCAATCCCACGCATCGTCGTGTGTGCCACAGTACTTGGAGCAGCCCCCTTGAGGTCCCGGGAATTTGGGGTCAACACTGTGGTTTTCTTCTTCTTTTTCGTCGAGATCATGCTTTGCTCGACGGATGAGGCTTCCTACGCCTTGGGTCAGCATTCCACCGAGGTCGACTTTCGTTCCGGGCGCGAACCGAGACAAGACAGCCTCGAGCGTTCAAGCATCATCTGACGTCACCAGCGCTTCATCCAATGCCCCAGCCTAGCGTCAGCTTGTCCAGTGCCTCTTTGCCCGCCGTCAGCATTTCTGGGAGGTTCAACACCTGAAGCACCATGTAGGCATCTGCGATGGCGGCCATGCGGTTCGAAACACTCTGTGCACAGCTTGCTCGATTCACGTGGAGTCGTGTCACGATGGAGGGGGAGCGGGACCGTTACTTGAAATGGAGAACCGGATTGAGCATCGAAATCGTATCATCCCAAGAGGCGCAACGGAGGCTGGCGCCGACGGTGGGAAGGATCGTGCTCTGACGCAATCTGTGAGACGACCACTCACAAAGAGGGTGTCGATGGCGTTCCCATCTGCACGATCCACTAGGTACCTACTGGCAGACGGGCGGGGGTGAACAAGGAGGGAGTCGCACTGTGGGAACGGTCGAGGCTGGTGGTGATCCGCAGCGCACCCTGTGCAGAGACCTTCAGCCGTATCATGCGCCAACAAACAGGAAGGATTAGAAATCCAGATCCAGATCAGGCTGGCACAGGCTGGGCCACCCATTCGGTGAGCCTGGACCGCGTTCGCGACATGGACACGGTGAGAAGTCGCGTGTGTGGATCCCGCGTATCGACTTTGTCGAGCGCAGGCAGGGTCGGAACAGAGGCTTCATTGGAAGAAACGAAACTTCAACCCGGAAGCCAGACCGTATCGGAGACCAGGGGGCCCGACGAGGAAACCCGCTGAAAGAAGAAACCTCTTGGTCGATCACTGTCGCCCCGGCTGGGTGATCCGCCAGCGACGGGACGGGCGTGTGAGACTGTTGCTGGCCCGGCCAGTCTGGTCCGCCGGGAAGGTTTTTTTCTTTCCTTTCTTCCACTTAGACATGCCATGACTCTGAGTGGCTCGAGGGCTCGAGGGCTCGAGGGCTCAAGGGCTCGAGGGCTCAAGGGCTCAAAGGCTCAAGAATCGGGGGGCGTCTCTTCAAAACCGTCTCGCCTGAGATGCGATGTTGCTGGCTGACCGGTGCATTTGCCGCAAACAGAGATCAACAGCATCGGCGCCCGGGGCACGTTTGCTGGAAGGGAAGGAATCGCCTTCTCGAACCGAGTCGTTCCCGGTACATGTACATGAGGGGCCCAACAGGTGGGCGGTGACGGTCGAGTGAGGTGGTGGTGAAATGAGCAAGAGGTGATGCAATCCATGCAGGGGTCACTGACTTAGCGTGCGCCAGTGCTTTCCCGGGTGGAGGTTAGCAGCTCGAGTAGCGACGTCCATTGGTCAAGCTCACCACCCTAGTGGACAGTGCATCGGCCGTCTGCATTGCTCAATCCCTGTCACAGACGTGGAATGACGAAGACACTGGAAGGGGGGCGCCCGTCATTTTGACACCCTCCAAGTACAACTGTCCAGTGACTCCAGTATTGGACCAGGTATTTGGCAGGTGTCAGAGGGCAGGAAGGAGTGCAGAGGAGACAGCGACATGATGGAAGAGTGATCATGCCTGTACGAGACTTGTCCATTGCGACTTGGGACTCGCCGTCTTCGATGCGATCGAGGAGAAGACGTGCCTCCCCAACCAGTCTTGCAGCACAGGTGAAAGGACCCCTACCGCCCACAGGCGGAGCGAGCAAATAGGTCACGTCACCCCAGCACAGTACCAAGCAGGGTCCGGGCTCATGAACGCGCCACGCGCAGGGAGTGTTTCCCACGCGATGGCGGGCACAGACAAGCCGTCGAGTCGTCGAGTCGGGAGGCATAGGGGGGATCTCTCGGCATGGAGTAGAAGAGGTGAGAGAGCGAGAGAGAGTTCGTCGGTTTGAGGCTGATTAATACGACCGTTGTTGCGTGACGGAGGAGGGGAGGAGAGGAGAAAATTCATCCGGATGTCGCAACGAGTCTGCACTGTGGCATTATCAATCCGCCCGTCGTATAAATCGCCACCCGATCACACCCAAAGAGAGACAGAGCGAGAGAAAGAGGGTGAGGTCAGCCAGGCATCCCATTAGGAAGAAACGCCCCGGAACCAGTACCGTGTGCAATACAGTCTTTACACCTTCGCCTCGCTCCGTCTCAACACAAGACGGGTTGGAAAACATCAAAGAAGGCCGGAAATGAGGCATGTTGGAAGCATGCTGGAAGCAAAACAGGGCCTCCTCACACAGTCTGTCCGTTCTGGAGGCACACGGTAGCATGCGCAATAGGATTGTACAACCCGTTTTGGGCGAGCGTCGTCGAGGTTCTCACAGGGTTGGCCCTGCCAACCCCATCGTCTCTCCCAGCAGTTTTCCGTGGAAGGAGGCAAGGAGGCCCCTCCCCCCCCCATCTTCCCTTGCCTATTGCCCCCAATGCCAGTCGACTCCTGCCCCGTGTGTCTGGTCTCGGCGCAGGTAGCGCGCGCCGCCCTCGTTCCCATCTTTTCCACCTCGTGCGCCTTCGCCCTTCTTTTTTTTAAAGTCCACAACCGCAACGTCATACTTCCTGTGACGTCTGCCGTTTCTCCCCAAACAACACCCAAGCACGCTCAGCACTCCGTCGTCACCCAGTCACTCAACCACGCTTGTGCCTTTCATCGACCCCGATCGCATCTGCGCGTGTCGCATCGCAATCGCATCTCAGTCGGCATCTAATCCTGCCCTTTTCGCCCTGTACTTTTTGTATTGTCGTCCATCAGTCGCACTACCTCCAGCCAGTCACCCTGACACTGGCGCGTGCCACTCACCCACCCAACCTTCTCTTCTCTCCCACATTTTTTCTGTCCACCTCCCTCACTTACTCGCCTCCTCACCTCCTCCCACCCCTTTCGCCTCACTTCCCTTCTCATGCCAGAAGGCTGAGTTTTGGACGAGAGACAGAGCAGAGAGAGAGAGAGAGAGACAAGAAAGAGAGTCTGTGTGTGAGTGTGTGACAAACGATAGAAAAGCAAGATCGAGAGCGAGACGCGCTTGATCTGCCAATCGCCAAAAAAAAAACCCTTGGGTCACTCGTGGCTTGCACAGCAACTGCAAGACTCTTCCACTCTACTTTTCTCTTCCCCGATCCGTACCTAATCTCGAATCGTAACCCCCCAGAGGCGTCTCGACGAACCCTTACCCATCTCTAGTCCACCACCCAGCGCTGTGTTCCCAACCTCTGACCTCATCTGGCTTCCCACATCTCTTGCCCCCCGTCCACTTCTCAACTCTGCACCCCACAGACGTCGACGTCAACATCAACTGCCTTCGGTCGTTACCACCTTGGCCCCCTACCGCTATTCCAGCCCTACCTCCAAGGTGTCTCGCAGTACACTACATCCTACAACGTCATCGCCATGGGGACTTCACCGAACAATACCTCTGCTCGAGGTGACCCGAAGTCCCCCAAGAAGTCGACGTCGCAAGGAACAACACCAGAACGTCAAGGTGGATCAGGTACGTGGTTGATCCCAACCCTCTACTTCCATCCCTCCTGTCGACAAGTCCCATTGCCCCTTTTGTCGACACGCAACTGTCCTCTTGCTTACACACTGTTGTGCCTCCAGACTCTGCTTCCGACGCGAAACAGTCCGATTCGAGTGTGAAGAACGAATCTGACGGCGCGAAACCTCTTGGACCTCCCCCTCGACCAGCTCCAACGGGCAACACGCCTGACTATTTTGGAGGACCTCGCATCAGCGACAGCAACCTCAACCTGGAGCCCAATCCCTTTGAGCAGTCCTTCGGCGGCGGCAACGGCGCCGAAACGCCTGGAGGTACAAAACTGCCGTCTGTCGCCCACATCACTTCACCCTCTGCTCTTCTGCCTGGGACCGGCACAACTCCCTTCAACTGGGGAGGAGGCTCGCTTCGAACAGGTCCTCTCAGCCCGGCCATGCTGTCGGGCCCAACCAATGATTACTTTAGTGACAGCCATCATCTCCGTGGAGGATTCCCGACTCCTAACGAGTCCTCTCTGAGGACAGGCCTGACACCTGGTGGCAGTGGTTCCATGTTCCCTGCCCCGAGCCCGAACTCGCAACTGTTCGCACAACTTGCAGGCAGTGGTGCCACGCCTGGTACCCTCGACTTCCACCGCACTGCGCTGAGTGCCGCTGCGGCTGCCAAGAGAGAAGCACAGAACCTTCCTCAGCCATCGGTGACATCAAGGCCAGCAGAGATGGCCAACGGTGGCGCCGCTCCCAAGCCTGAGGTCAAGACCTCAGGTCCTTTCGATCCCCACGACAATGATGCCGCCAATGGTCTCTTCATGCTTGCGCAGGGTGCTGCTCAGGGTAGGAATGGTGCGCCGACTTCAAACTACCCCCCCACATCGCAATCTTCAAACCTCACCAACGGCGCTCCTGCGCCTGCCGTCCAGCCCCTTAACACGTCTCCGAACATGGGACATGCCAACGGCGTTTCCTCTAGGGGTGTGAGTGAGGGCGGCAGTGCTGCCTCGGAGGAGAGCGAACATGCTCGTCCTTCAACTCGCGGCGGCAAGGGGAAGAAGAATGGCGGCTCGGTGGCGACAAACGGTCGACGCAAGGCCGAAGAGCCGCCTGCCAAGGCACCTGCTGCTAAGAAGCAAAAGACCAGCGCGGCCATGTCTATGCCTGAGGGCGACGACAGCCAGTCGGAAGATGATGAGGAAACTCACAAACTCGATGAGAATGGTGCCAAGGTGAAGATGACCGATGAGGAAAAGCGCAAGAACTTTCTCGAGCGCAACAGGTATGCCCCTCTCATCGCCATACGACTTGAAACACGAGTACTGACACATTCACAGGGTTGCCGCTCTCAAGTGTCGCCAACGCAAAAAGCAGTGGCTCGCTAACCTCCAGACCAAGGTGGAGATGTTCAGCACAGAGAACGATGCCCTGTCGACTCAAATCACGCAGCTGCGTGAGGAGGTTGTCAACCTCAAGACCCTTCTGCTCGCCCACAAGGACTGCCCCGTGACCCAACAGCAGGGTCTGCACGGCGCGTTCATGCAGCAGGCCATTGAGCCTTACAACCACCAGATGAACCCCTACGGAATGGCAGGCCCCATGCAGACCAATCAGCAAGTGATGGCTGGCGGACAGGGCGCTCCTCGTCGCTTTTCTTAGGACGTCTGGCCGACCGCTGAGCATGAAATGATGATGACGAACTGTTCTGGACATGGCATTGTTCATGATGATCTCGTGGCCGCAGATCGTCCACTGCTAATGGACTCTGCCGCGAGGTTGAGTTGATCCCTTCTCATCTGTATTATCATTTTGGTGCATGACGGTGTCCCGCAAGAAGCACATGGATCGGGCACCTGCATTGCACGGTGGGTGGGCGATGCCGGCCGCGAGGTATGAACCACACGCACAGTAGTAGCACTGTGTGTATGGGGCAGGCATCGGGATTGAGTTTGCAGAGGGCGCAGCGGTGCTTGCGTCCTACCTCGTTCCATCTGTATGTATTTGGCTTTGCGCTGGGACACATAAAAAATCGGAGTTTGGGCTTGGGCGGTTTGACAGGGGCGTCACGGGAAGGGCGAGGGTCGCTCCTGTTTGGAGGAGCGACAGAGCCTGGCTCGGGATGGGACTCGCGATAGCAACAAGTAACGACGGCTACGTAGATCCCGCGAATCATGAACACAACCAACGTACTATTTCATCGCAGCGCGTCAGACCGTGAATTACTATGCAGGCCAGCATTATGCGAGAGCAGTCATGCAGGATGGTTGCGGATGAAGCGTGATGATCAGGTACGATGTAGTTCAGCGTACCTAGGTGACGGACTGCAACCGCAGGCCACGAGCCAGCAAGCAAGGTAGGTGTATAGCTAGGTGTGGTGGTCACGGGACGAGCTGATGAAGAGGTGCGAAAGGCGACGATCTCACGGCGGGAGTGGAGGTGGAGGCGTTCTTGCCGGATCAGGCTTAGCGTATGCACATGGACCGACTCTGCTCTCTTCACCCAATGTAAACAACATCGCAGCGGAGCTGCAACTCGCGCGCCTCCATACCCAATGTACCGCATCGATAGCCACCAACTCTTTACAAACGCAGCCGTCGCCCGTGCCATTGTTCGACCCTCCGACCTTCGATCTTCCGTGCATCGCCTCGTCAAGTCGTTCGATCCTTTCCAGCGACGCGGTTCGCGCTAGTGTGGGCCAGACTCCGAGTCGCGACTGACATTGGCCCTCGCATCGACCTATCGACCTAATCGCAACACCCACCCCAACATCACCGATTGCCCGTTCCTGCCAGCGTCCATGACCACAACCTCGGACCCGCGCCATCCATGACGACCATCGTGCGATCACGTCAGCCGCTTCAAGTCATTAGCATGACCAACGAGCAGTCCGAACAAAGAAAAAGCAAACGCTTGGCGGGTAAGGACGACCCCTCCACCGCCAGCGTCCAGGGCCGTCCGCTCCAGCTGCTAACGCGTCCCCAAGGTGCAGCCTCTGTCTGGGACGAGAAGGATGGCGACTTTCACTTCACGCGCACGGCCAAGCGGGTCAAGACGGCGCAACCCGCAGACGAGCCCGAACCCGAATCCGCACCCGCACCCGCACCAGCACCGGCAAAGAAGTCCTCAAGGGGGCGATCCCAGCCCAAGGAACGCGCGCCTTCGACCCAGCAGTCCGAGATGCCGGCAGCAGCGCCAGCACCCAAGGCGACATCCAAGACGGCTGTGCCGGAGAGGAGGAGGACGTCGCGTCGCAACGCCAGCCTAGACCCCGCGCCTGCGGAGGAGGTGGCGATTGTGCAGCCAAAACGGGCGACGCGACGGAGCACGCGTCACTCGACCGACAGAATCGAAGAGCAGCCACCAGCACCGAAACCAACCGCCAAAACGACGTCCAAGATCGCGACGAAGGCCGCGCCCAAGAGGAAGCACCAGCAGGTCGATGCGCCAGAGGACGCGCCGGAGGAGGTGGCAGGGCAGCATACGCCACGAGCCGTGGACGACTCGGTCGAGTCGGCCAAGATCACATTGCCGGTCAGCGACACGCCGGTGATCAATCGCAACAAGGAGATGCGCAAAAAGGGCGGGGGGACGCGTCGGAGCAGTCTGGGCATGAGGGGGCGGCGGGCGAGTTCCCTCATCGAGAGCGGGCACAATGCAATACCGCATCGCGAGGTCGCCACCTCGGAGTTCTACAAACACATCGAGGCCGAGGGGCTGAGCGAGCCGCGCCGGATGAAGCAGCTTCTGACGTGGTGTGGCGAGCGGGCGTTGCTGCCAAAGCCACCACATGGCTCGGCAAACGCGCACATTGTCAACGGAGGTAAGCTGATGCGCGATCATCCACAGGGTTTTCGGGATTTGGAGGTGCTGACGCGATGTAGCACGAGCGATACAAGAACTGCTATTGAAAGACTTTGCGAATAAGTCGGAATGCTCTGACTGGTTCGCGAGGGAAGACGCGCCACGAGCTCCCGTCGTCCTCCAGCCAAACCCGCGAAATCTAGAGCATCAAGAAAAGATCGACCAATTGGAGCAAAAGGTCAAACGGTCAGTCTGCCCTCGTCCTGTGTGTGTTCATCGTAAGCACTCGAAACTGACCATTTTTTTTTCGCAGACTAAAAGAGGAGAAAAAGAAATGGCTGTCGCTCAAGAAGACGCCGATACCAGACATTAGCCCTTTGTTCCCCGAACAGCCAGCAGACTCAGCACAAAAGCAGCCTGTCGTTCTCCCAGACTTGAAATCCCTCGAAGCCAACGAGGCGCAGATGCTCAGCTACCTCACCGACCCGGCCACATCATTTGACGGACATCGAAAGGCGGTGCAGACACGGCTCCTCCGCGTACAGTCGAGCCTCGAGTTCAAGATCGATCAGCTCGCCGACAGCGTCCACAAGCTGCTCCAACGAGTTGACACGGCGGGGCGCGAAGCGGACAAGGTCCTCGCGCTGAGCGCGAAACGCCTCAAGGAGCGCGAGCACCGGGAGAAGAGCGCGTCAGGGACCAGGGAGATGCCCGCCATGGAGGTGCTCAGAAGCTTGGGGCGGTTGCTACCACCCGAGAATGAGGGGTAATGGTCGATCAGCATCAGGCGCTTCTTTTCGGTTGCTTTTTTTCTTCTCTCTACCCACGACGATATCATGAATGAAACGAGGAGGGAGGCTGGATAGGGGCTTTTGCTTGTGATTACTTTTCCAAGACGGAGGCGTCGGTTTTCTTTGTGTGAATTTTTTCCCCCTCTTTTTTTACCTCTTCTTCATGTCGTGAGAGAAAGTTCAAGATTCCCCCCTTGTATTTCATGGTGGTCCTGGGTCCGGCGGAGCGGGCACAGTGGTCTGAGGTTGCGCCTTTGGGGCAACAGGATGGATGGGTAGTCGTTAGTAGTAATCTACCTATCTTCTGCCTCGTTCCCATGACAAGTTTGGGGCATATTGCAGTGCATATTCATGACTATTGATACGGGGTCCTGGCGAACTGTGCTCGCGCACCTCCCCGACACAGGTGCAATTCCTGACCCTGGGATGTCTGACTGACGAAATGCTCACGCGAGTCTGCCTCGCGTGTGGTTCCTCTCTTACTTTTGCCATACACGATATATACACGAACATCCGAGCAAACAGTCGTCATATTCATCAATTTTTGAATTGGTCTCATGCACCCAGTGCTAGTCCGTCCGTTAGATTCGTCTCCCAGACCGCGCGGCAGATCCAATCCTCCATCTTTTCCCGAGCTTGTCTCCACAAACTCCCTAGGGGCCGAGACCATAATGAGGACCGCAGCAAGTCGCCGCCGCCGCCGCCGCCGTTCCTGCCACCTGAAGTGGAGGGGAAAACATAGCCTGCCGCTCGTTCTGCCGTTAGATCAGGTGCTTGGACCGGAAGTACGCGCGCAGGTACATGATCTGCCACGCCCACAGCGCGACGAGGACAAAGGTGGTGCCGACGCCGAACCACTTGACGCGCGTGTTGGTGCTCTCGTTTGTGTCGCGCAGCTTAAGCTCACGGGCCTTGAGGTAATCCATCTCGCGGTTGACTTCGCTGATCAGCTCCTCGATACGGCGGAGCTCGGCCTCGACGGGCTTGAGCTTCTCGGTGGCCTGAATGGCGGACCAGTCCTTGGCGTCGGCGCCAATGTCAATGTCGAGCTCGACGTCGACAAAGGCGTTGGGGATGGAGCGGGCTGGCGACAAAGGGGGGCACGGGTCAGCTGTGGCTCGGGGCAGGTGATAAAAGGGGCGGGAGACGTACAATCGGAGAAGACGTTCTCGAAGCAGACGTCAAAAGCGGCGTCAGCGTGCGAGGTGAAGACGGTGCGCTGCTCGCCGGCCACGTCCTTGGGTCGGCCGTAGTCGTTGCCTACGGCGTCCTTGATCTGCAGTGGCACCTTGGTCAGTCCACCCATCCTCGTGCCAGCATCGGCATCGACGCCCGGGAGCCACGTACGCGCATGTTGACAGTCATGCCGTCACCCTTGTAGCCGCCCACGGTGGCCGTGACGACGACCAAGGTCTCCTTGGCCACAAAGTTGCGGATGCATCGTTCGCGGTTGCTGGCGCCTGGCGCGGTGGCATGCAGGTCGAACCTGAGGGCCTGGGCGCTGACGGCCAGGAGGAGAAGGCTGCAGACGTAATGCAGCAATGATCGTGGTAACGCCATTGTCGCGGCCGGGTGTGTGTATGTGTGTGTGTGACGTAGGTACGGAAACAGACGATCGCGGTGGTTGTCGTGGTGGTGGATAGGCAATCTGGCAAGTCTCCCTGGTCGACTTTCAGGTGGGAGAGCTTAGCTTGGAGTGTCCACTGGATTTCGACTTTGGAAATCTGTCGCGTACGGCTGCCGGCCGTTGACCCCTGTCCTCGCACGCCGCAGCGCCCAATCACATGGCTTCGCCCCGCAGCCTCGAACGCTGTCCCTCACGTGAAATCCTTCAGCCTTGTCTTGTCTTGACTTTTTGGGGCGCGACAACGACAAGCTCCATCTACCAACGTTTGGTGGTCCACTGTCGCATTGCCCATCGCGCAGCACAGCATTCAACTTCTCCCAACAGCCAAGCACGCGCTCCAAGCCAGCCAGTCAAGATGCCTAAGTGTGAGTCTCTAAATATCCCCATGAGTTTGATCTATGCTGACCGTTCTGTAGTCTTTTGTATGTCCCTGCGCATACCCTGCCCAGGCTTGCATCTCCTCTTGATTCGCAACTGACCCTCGACACAGGCGACTATTGCGATGTCTACCTCACGCACGACTCCATGAGTGTGCGGAAGGCGCACAACAGCGGTCGAAACCATCTGCGAAACGTTGTCGACTACTACCAACGTATGACCTCCTTGCGCCCCTGGCGCCCTGGCGCCCGCTCCCACCATGTAGCTAACGCGTTCGTTCCCTCGCCGTAGAAATCGGTCACGAGAAGGCCCAATCCGTCATCGACTCCATCACCTCCTCCTACGCTGCCGAAGGCCAAGCCCACGCCAACCCCATGCTGCCGCAGAACCAGCCAGGCCAGGGCTTCCCCCCGCCGCCCTTCCCCTTCCCAGGAGGTACGTGACCCCGTCCCCCTTCGCTTCGTCTCCTCAGGCGCCAGAGAGCAGCAAAACCAAGCTGACACCAACCGACGCAGGCATCCCCCCTCCCGGCTTCCCCGGCGCGCCGCCTTTCCCGCAGGGCATGATCCCACGTAAGTCGCACCGCACCCTTCGCCGTTTCCCCAGACCAAGCCTGACAAAGTTCAAACCAGCTCCTGGACCTCCCGGCCGCGGCATGCCGCCTCTCCCCTTCCCGCCCCCGGGCGCCAACGGCGCACCCATGCCCCCGCCCGGCGGTCTGCCCTTCCCGCCCCCAGGCGGCCTGCCCTTCCCACCACCCGGTGCTGCTGGCGCCGGCGGCCTGCCGCCCAACTTCCCGCCGTTCCCCGGCATGCCTGGCGCGCCCCCCGGCGGCTTCCCTGGAGGCCCCCCACCACCGCCTGGTGGTGGGTTCCCTGGTGCGCCGGGACAGGACAGGCGGTGAGATGGGCGCGGGTTGCCTCTGTGCTCCAGAAGGGTTACATGAATGCGATGGGGAATACGGTGTTCTCTCCATGATTACAGTCGGAATGGCGTTTTTGGGTGTTTGGCGTGGAATTCATTTACCAATGAGGCGAGAATAGCATGTTCCATGCCAAGACAATGTTCTTCTGCTGAGAACGCATCCGGGATCTTGTTTACTTACTCGGACAGAGATGTGCTTGATGTACGTCTTAGGCTTAATCGTCTAATTCATGACCAGCAGTGTCCGCACGCGCTGTTCGCGAAATACAGTGAACAGAAAGCAGATGCCAGGCTGGCACATCATATTCGTGCGTTTGGACAAAAGTTCACATTCAATCAGAGCTCGTGCTAAAAACAGAGAGAATTGCGTGGTATCATGTCATGGCAGTGTCTAAGTGTACATGTGATGAGAGCCAGCTCCACGCATCGCATCGTAAGTCATCATGGTCATAGCCGCATGGCGCCCAGCACAAACCAGACACGGGTCGTCATGCCTCGAAACAAGAAAAAAAAAATCAGGATCGCCTCCAGGTACAAATCGGCTCAAATCTCAGATACGTCCAAAGCAATCCGTATACCCAATCCTGTAGCAGCAAATCCCTGTGTCCCTGCACCAGTCATCAAATCGTCAAGGCGAAGCAGCACTCGCTGTCGACTATTATGTCATCTTTGAAACTCTCACGTTCTCAAGAATTTTCAGGCCTCATCCTCCATATATGCCTAGTTCTCAGTCACCTACCGGTGGCTGCGCTGACTGCCGCTCCGTACTACTTCTCCCACACCATCCCGCACCTCTCTGGGACCACTGATCTTCTGTCGCAGCTCATGCGTGCGCCTTTCTCTTCTGCGTTCGCTGAGCCGTCTAGGCAAGCCCTGTATTTCCTCGATAGTGTGAGACACGGAGAATCGCCGCCTGGGGGTCGATGGCGTCTCTCCTCTCGGGCGGCCACGAGCGGGCCATAAAAGCCTCGAAGAAGAGGTACCGTCGGAGGTGTAGGGTCGGTCGGACTGGCGCGGGATCGACTCCGCGCTCTTCCGGCGTCGCACGACGCGCAAGTTACCGCTCGGTGTGCGACGGATAATGCGTCGGTCGAGTCCGTCCTCGCCTGACCAAGAACGGTAGCCATGTTGGTCGCGCTGCGGGAGGATAGCAAATGTCCGTTTCATCCGCGCACTCAAGCTCCGTTGTGGACCCGGTCGATTGCGATGAGCTTCGTAGTAGTAATCTTCGTCATCGATATCTCGAACGTAGTCGTCTTCTTCGTCGTCGACATAGGTTGGTCGCCAGAAGGGATGCAGCTTGCTACCATCTGCGGGTGGGTCGTCAATGTTCGGGTACGGTGAGTCCCTAGCAAGTGGCTCGGTACTCGCATTCCTTTGGTTACTGCGTGAAAGAGATAAGGTGCGCGTGAGAAATCCAGGCCGAGCCGTCCTTGGAGGGTAAGCTTCCGAGGTGCGTCGATGCTGGAGCAATGCCCTCCGCACCAGAGACATGCTTCGCTTGGGGGGCTTTTCATCCTCCTCCATCGCCTCAAAGTAGTTGCCTCGCATCTCCTGGCGTTCGTGGAATGGCGTGAGCCCCGACGGTGTGGCAGGGATAAATTGAATAGCTGGAAGCGTCGGTGGCACTGGAGGGGCGCGTGGATTCTTTAGTGGTGAGTCAACTTGTTCAAGCGCAAGCTGTGTCTGCGGTGGTGTCACGGGTACTGAGCCGCCGGGAGAGGTTGTGACGATTTTCGGTCTTGCTGGGGTTGAGTCGTGCATCTCAGGTGCCAAGTCATTGTTCTCTGTGGCAGCTCTGTCTTGAAATACATCACCATCGTCATTTGGCTTCACTGCGTGATGGACCATGAGCAAAGATGAGTTTTGATGAGGGTAGATGCTGACAGCAAGAGCTTCGGAGACCTCAGCAGCAGTTCCAAAACTTCCATTCGTGTCCAGGGAAGCGACTGAAAAAGGTGTGTTCTGGTGCGACAATCTCTTGCCGCTATACGACTCGGCGTCGGGCCGGTGCAAATTTGGACGAGCATGCATGTAGTCTTCCTGCGCTGAGAAGAATGAAGGGGTGCTTTTCAGATCTGTCGAAACCATTCTGTCCTCCGGGGTCAAGCGCTGCTGGACTGCATTGTGTGCTCTGAGGCTTTCCGCTGTCATTGACCCAGCGCGTGAAGTGTTGCGACTTGTCGGGGCTGACAGAGATGATGATCTCGCCGGGATGGCAGGAGGATAATCAATAGTTCTTTGATCAGATCCGTCAGATTCCGACATGGTCCGTCGTCTGCGGGAAGGCCTGTCAAACAAGGGTGTTAAGTCGTGACTTTTAGTAGCATTCACCCGTTGCACCGAGTTTACACTCAGACTGCGTCGGGTCCGATGGCTGCTCGTTGATCTCAGAGAAGGCGTACGGCTGGACCTATTGGATGACCTCCGGTCAGGTACAACGACGACCGGGATTCCTCCATTTTTCCACACCTCGCGGCGAGCTTTGTTGCTTGACATAGAGTTGTGGGTCGTTGCAGACGTGTGACTCTCACGGCGTGAATCAGGTGGCCGGCTAGCTGGTGGGTGCTGTCTGGTTTCCTCGAGTCGGATTGCAGAACTGGGGGCAGAACTTCCCGGTGATTGATCAGAGGGTGAATCTCGCAGGGTTCCTCGTTTCCTCACATGGCGCAGAGTCTGTTGTCGCTGAGGCGGCGAGGGTGTGTCGACCAAGATCGCCTCAACGACAGTGGACACACTCGACTTTGCAGACGTTCCGGAGAGCCTTCGGTGGTCTGGGGCGCTAAAGCTTTCCGATGCTGCTGGTTTCGACCTTGCAGTCTTTCTTTCGGGTGAATGTTTGGCAACGGGATGTGTCGTCATTCTGTCATGCAACGGTACGGCTCGAAGCGCTTTGGTGGCATTAGAGGGAGAGATGAGATCATCATCGAAAACCTCGTTTCCATGTTCGCTCAGGCGAGGAGTATGCGGCGTTTCCGGCGTTTTGCGCGTTTTCCTTACCATGACATGTCTGCCTAGGTTGTCGTCCCATTCCTTTTCCACTTCATTGGACGATTCCCATCCAGCATCAAATTTGATGAACTCTCCTTTCGTTCTCGGTGTCAGGCTGTCGTCGGTCTTGGGGTCAAAGTCGAGTCCAAGTCCGATGCCGCTCGGGTGCGACGCTTTCTTAACCTTGTGTTGTGAAATCTGCCGAACAGTAGTCTGCGATGTACGTGGAGATGGTAGACTCGGTCGTATAGTGGACTTGCAGTCATCTTCAGACGAATAGGGCTCTTCTCTTGCCGTTCGAAAGGACTCGGTTCGAGACTCTGACGTAGTAGTCTTTGAAATGGAGCGATCACCAAAGACGGGCCGCAATGCCTTCGGGCGAGTGGCTGGTTGAGGGGGTGTCACATCAGGTGTTGGGGGACTCTGCTGATTCTGGGGGGTCGTGGGTCTTTCGAGATGCGTCGAGACCTTTTCGAGGCTCTGAGAGGGTGTTGCAGCGTCCGTCGGGCTGTGCAGCTGTATGGAGTGACTACTTGAGGAGGTTCGCGAGTGGGCGGGGGGGGTCGGAGGCATGACGGGGCCACTTCGAATACGTCTCGACTGATGCTTCAGGGTAGGCGAGTTTGGCGACTGCGAAGTCTTCTTGCGTGATTGCGCGTCACTCGAGCTGAGGGTACGCCTTGCTTGCGGAGATCGCTGATCGTTGACTATGCTCCCAGCATTTTCTCTTTGCCTCGACGGATGGGGGAGCACCTTGTGCTTTTTGAAGTTCCTTCGTCTTGATAACTCTTCCTCGGTCATATCATGATTTGGAGGTCGCGATGTCATTGTGGGCGAAAATATTAGGTTTGCAGCAGCTGTCATGCTGGGAACTGCTATTTTGTCGTCGGCTGAGGGTTGGAACAATAACGAGCGGCCTCGGTAATATGTCGATGGCGAAGAGGGTCAGCGCATGACCCGGTCGAGTAACTCGCGATTATGCCGACAGACTGAGACGTGTTCTTGTTCGCATTCTGGGCAGAACAATCCAGGGACGCGGTTATTCTTCGCGGGTCGCGCTTGTCGCAAAATGGACGTTGGTGAGCAGGTGCGAGAGGGTATTTACAAGGGCAAGGTGAACGGCGAGGGCGGCGGAAATTGTTGCGAAGATAATTGTGGCGAGGCGTCAAGGGTCTCCTTGTTGAGACATGTGGTGGACAAGCGGCAGGGCCAGTGTTTCGTGGTCGAGGTTAATGTCCCTCGAGGCGAATCGCGGTCTCGAGGGTAGCAAGGAAGCAACAGAGTCAAACCCAATGCAGGCCGGAGTGCAGCAGGCCAGTGCCGCGTCGATGTGCTTGGAAGAATGGCGGTCTCCCATGAGCAAGACGCAGGTCTGTCCGTGTTCGCGAAGAACCAAGGTTGGATGAAGGTGGGCAAGACACAACAGCAAGGACGATTTCCAGTGTAGGGATGACGCCCTTTGTGGTTGGTTCGGCCGCAGCAGGGCGAGGATTCGACGTCAGGGTCCCGCTAAAAGGCCGCGTGAGGGCTTATACTAGTTGCCGTGTCTCTTGGACTCGAGGGAAACAAAGCGCTTGCTTCTACTGGCAGTGCGTCATGTCGTTGATCGCGAAGGCGTGCAAGTGTCCGAGGTGTTCGAGGCAACAGCTGGACGAGGCAAAGGGACGGCTTGATTGGCAGGAAGCGAGGGGGAGGACAGGGACGCAGACACACACTTCCATGTGAACCACCTGTACGACAAGTCGAGTTTGCTGGATCAAGAAGAACGACAAATGTGGTAGCAGCTTCGGGGGTGCTGTCTGACTTGTCTGGCTGATCTGGGCAATGCCCTGGCAATTGCAGTCATGATGACAAGTGGGTAGCCTGGAAGGGGAGGGGCGGGCGGCAGGCGGGCGGGCACTGGGGGCGAGGGGCGGGCTTTGAAGGGATGGCCTTGGAAGGAGGGGCCCAATAGAGGACGGCGATGTGCAGTTGGGGGTCCATCCTTCCTGCCATCGCTCCCACCCCGAGCATGGCAAGCATGGTCCATCCTTTCCTGCCTTCCAGAATTCATCCCAAGTCCCGCTACCAGACTCCTACCAAACCTGTACAATATTTCTTGGCATAAGACTCCGTACAGTTTGGTCGATGAACCAGTCTCCCTGACCACGATACAGGGCGCTACCACAGACAGACTCCTAGACCGACTTCTTCCCGACCTGGCTTCGACTGTTGCGACGCGCATTTGCCGTTGCAACTCGTTTCTGGAATACCGCCCTCTCCTTTAGGACCGTCCTCCGTCGGTGCTACCTTGTACTCCCTTGTTCTTGAACAAAAGCACCACAGTGGGTGGTCCGCAGAGTCATGCTGCGCCAGCTCCATGCAGGAGGACAGCGGCCTTGCAGTGGCCTCGACTTTGGATGCACCGGTACCAGCGCCATCACCATTAGTTGACCAACGAGACGGCGGAATACCTGCCGACCTGCTTTTCTCTTCAGACAAGCCTGCACGCCCGACATATGCATTCTGCGCTGTTGAACGAATCAGATGTCAAATAAGCTCTAGGCCCAGCAAGCTCAACACTGGGTGGGCAGGTAGGCGAGCCTCCCAGCCTCCGACTTTCTAACCACGCCGGCTCCCCGCGTCCGCCGACCAGACTGGTCCAACCCCCTCACCACGCCAAAGGGGCTGCGCTATTACCTGAGCTAGGTGGCTCCGTGAGAGAGGCACGGTTTGTCCCGCGCGGCCACACATCCCCTCCTCTTGACAAACCTTACAGCAGGCGTTGCTTTGCGTCGTAAGCATTCACTGTCCCAATCCCCATTAGCCCATGCGCAAGACTTTGCCTGCCGTCGTGACAGTTGCTTGGCTAGTTTCTTGATTGTTGCACCCGTTTGTGAGGGTCCACAGCGCGCCGAGTGCCAGGATTGGGCCCTTCCGACATCCCTCTTCTCTGTAGTCTATTGTCTGCCTAACAAGCCAACGTTCTAGACTGGCAGCTTGCCTGTAAGCCATGCCGCGTGCAGATTGCACGCAACCAGGGACGACGCTGTCCGCTGGAATGTTGCGTGTTGAGAAAGGCCTTGTCGCAATCAGATCGTCCTGGAAACAATCGCCTGTATCTGGAACATCGAGATTCCATCGTTGCAGCCGTGTTCACGGGCGACAAGGAAGCCAGTGCTGCAGCTGAATCATCCGCAACAACCTTCCTTGGCCGAGTTTCTATTTCCGTCATTCACGAGCGACCGAGTCTTTCGCCGGTGCTAGAGCACCGTGCTATTGCAAACTCAGCCCACTCCGCCTTCCGCCAGAATCCGAACCCCGACACGATCGATCCGGAGAGTATTCTGACGATTATGTCCGCCGCAGCGCCACCCAGTCGGAAGTTACTAACAGGCTTCGCGTGATTCAGACCTCTCGCCATGGGGCGGAGGCGACAATGATGGGGCCTTCAGCCCGTTGCTGCCTCTGACGTACTGGGCCGCGACTCTCGTGTTTTGGGGGGGGCCTCCAAGCTACGCACACGACATTTGGCAGTACGGCACTTGGGCCCAGTCATCCACAGCACCACCATTCGTCATCAGCCAGAGAGCGCCCCATCGATTGTGGCTTGGATTTTGACGATCAAGTCCCATCGGTTTCCTTGTCTCAGCCTCGAAAGGGCAACGGTCCAGCTTTTACAATGACAAGCATGTTCCCGTTGACCTCAAACCCTGGCTACCAGGACTATGATCATTCCGCAAGCGGCACAAAAAAAGAAATTGGTGGTGTCACTTTTGTCCTCGACAACTTCTTGCCTTTCTGCACTTCACTTGTCTAGCCACATGGGTATTCACCAGCTGTCTGGGTCGACTAAACTGATGAAGTAGAAGCGTGGGTAAAAATGGAAGAAAGTGCGCTAAGCCCCGATCCGGCGTGACCTTGTGCCGCCACAAAGGAACACCACTCGGCCGTCGCCGGCTGAGGTAGGCATACGATGGCCTCCCGTCAGCCAGCTCGTATCCATATTTGTCCCACAGCTGGTCTAAACCTGTCACGTCAGTGGTTACCGAGACCAGCGGTAGCGCGTGCCTTGCAGAAATCCATCGGCGAAAACGACCCGACACGGGAGATCATCGCCTTACGACGACGCTTCCTCCTCCAACCGGGGTGGCCGTCCAATGCTTCTGCTGACCACAGTGAACATGGCTCAGTCTTACCTACGCCACCACTGCTTCCGGGCTGGAGGCTTCTCGCGGCCTCGCTACATAGTATATAGAGCCAAGTTGTGTCCGCTTGACACACCTCACATGTTGCACAGCACCAGCACCAACACCAACAATCACTTTCACCAATCGACCTTAGGGTTTCCTCAACCGACCTACAAGTGATCACTCACTCACTCTATCCCACCGCCCCCTCCCTACACCGTTGTGCCAGTAGAACAATTTGCACAATGAAGGCTGCTGCTTCCATTATCCTCGCCGCCTCGGCCTTGGCCACGGCTCAAGTCACATAGTACGTTCCACCCTTTATTTCGCGCCTTGCTGTCATGACTAATGCCCTACAGTAACGAGACAACTGGTGTCTACACCTGTGCTGCGCCGAATGTTGCATACTGCGCCGGTGACTCTCTGGGGACTGATATCATAATCCGGTGTAACGGTGCCTCCATCGGGCAGCCCGGGCGATGCACCAACAACCTCGCCGGTCAGCCACCTATCGGCGTCAACCCCGCTCTCTGTTTCCAGACGTCCGAGACCGCGGGTGACGCTGCCTGCGAGAAGAACTGCATCGTCTACCCAGAGGACGGCTCCAAGCCATTTACTCTGCCCGCCGACCAATGCAAGCAGTCAGGTTCCGGCAGCAACAGCACTACTACCACGACAGCCCCCAACGTACCGTCAACAACAAGCGACTGCGCCAGCACCTCCGTGTACCACCATGGCAACAGCACCAGACTGTATCCTCCAGTGCCTTACCCTACCAACACCAAGCACTTCCCGCCTCATCCTCGCCCTACAAACGGCACCAACCCGTCTTACCTCCCCACACCCCCCAACGACACACCATATCCCACAAGCGTTCACAACAACGCCACCAACGTTCCCGTCAGGCCAACGGGCACGAGCACGAACACCCCTCCCGACTCTGTTCCCACTGCTGGCGCGGCTCGGAACGGTGTTGGTGCCCTAGCCCTCGCGTTGGTGGCAGCCGTCTACTTCCTCTGAGCTCGATTGGGACTCGTTTACAATCCACCTACTTTGTAATACTTTAATACATAATACTCGACATTTGGTTGGCCCTTTCGCACGGTGTTGCCAGAGGTGTCTTGAATAGATGCACATACTGCTGCGGCGTTCCAGGATTTAGAGGCATGGCTACTTGGCCAGTCAGGATGCAGGGCGTTTCGGCTCTACATGGGGCAAGGTTTCCGGCGAGGCATCCTGATTCCATAGAAGACTTCATTCCGAATTACAATCACGTTGAATGTAGCCTGACACAACCAGTCGTGAGCACTGCAGAATGAATGTGAGAACCCAAGGTTGTCTAGATTGATGAAAAGAGTCAATTTTGAGCCACGTATTCGTAAGTAGCATCGACTATGATGAATCCAAGGCCAGTTGAGACGAGATGAAGCAGCATCGAGTACGAGTATTGTGACGAAGAGGGTGATGAGACAAAACTCTTGTCTTCAGATGTATCGCATTGCATCTACGTGGCCAAAGAGACGCGAGACGCCGCCCACCTACCCGCCTTTCGCCAGAAGACGTCGCTACGCCGTCTCGTCCCTCCACCACTGTTCGAAAACCCTCAGCCTCTCTGTCCGCTCGGCCGCCAGGCGCCTGCCAGCCTCCGTCTTCATCATGCCCTCGATCCGCAGCAACTTCTCCTCAAAGTGGTCTATCGCCCCCTGGAGACCCCGGCCCCCGCCCTTGGCGCCGCCAAAGGTGAAGCAGCGGCCCATGCCGACGGCGCCGATGGCATCGAGCCGGTCGGCGTCCTGCACGACGGCGAGCTCCGGGACGCGCGCGAGCAGGGCGACAACGGCGTTCGGGTCCTTGACCTCGGAGGAGTAGCTGACGCCGAGGCAGATGGTCTGAATCTCGGCGGCCAGGGCTTCCGGGGCGCCACGCTCGAGGAGGACGTCATGGACGAGGCGCGTGTGGTCTTGACCTGGCTGGAGGTACTTCTTGTCGCCGACGTCATGGAGGAGGGCGGCGAGGGTGATTTTGCGGAGGGAGAGGGCCGGCTTGCTGGCTGCGATGGTGTTGGTGGTGGGGTCGTTGTAAATCCTGTGGGCGAGGGCGAGGACGCGGAGTATGTGCGACCAGTCGTGAGAGGCATCGTAGTTAGACATGTAGTCTTTTACGTAGGCCGCTGCGGCGGTGACGAGATTGTCGTCTGCGTAGAGGTCGAGGGGGTCCATCTTGAGCTATGTGGCATGGAGGGTTTCGTCACAGACTGGATGGTATAGTCTTCAAGCGTCTATATTGCTGTACGATGTCCGTTGTTGGTCGGAGCGTGCTGTCGAGTAGCGTGCGATCTCAACTTTACTTTCTATCTGGAAAGACCGTACGACATGCGAGCGCCTCCGCCTTGGCTGATTACCGGTCTGATACGAGAACCCCGCCAAGATGCAAGTCAATCGTAGCTGCCTGGAGTTCTGAGTCACTGGCGGACCTGGCTAACTGAGCTTAGAAGGTCGATCGGCCAGACGCGTCGTGGTATTGACGATGGAGTCGGTCAGGGGTTTGCGTCGTCGCGTGGTGAGACGCGAGGTCACGTGACTAGTTGGATCTGTGGGTTGCAATGAAGGCCAAGCTCGATGCCGCATCTATCACCAGCCCAGTATATCGACAATCCAGTGGTGCCCCTTTCTCTGCTGGTGTGAAAATTCTGCTGCAGATCATTGTGACCATCGGAAGCCGTGCAGGCATTCCCGTGACATCATCAGAAAGTTCGGGCCAAATGCTGGCTATAGCTACCTCGTTGCTGGAGAACGAAGTCTCTCAAGTGTATCTAGACTCCTACTGTCCTTGATAGTCTCTGCCTTCTACCCCCCATTTTCTTCTTCATCTTCGAGCAAGGCCGTGGCCAGCGGACTCCTCTTTCTCGGCCTCGGAGGATCGACTCGACCACGTCTCAGTAAACCTCTTGGTTCCCATGACTCTCCCAGCTGCATCTCAACAGCCGATCGTGCCCGTGTGGAGATCGACGACATTGACGCAGGCACTCGTTTCTCCGTCACGCCAGGTCGACACCGACACTCGCAGTTGGTTCGGTTGCGCTGAAAGTGGATCGCCTTCGAACGGTGGCCATCACTGGGTGCTTCGGTGCCGTGTGACGAAGCTCACATACCCGCCGGGGCTAACGGTCATGGTCTGCATGAAGCCGGACGGCACACCTTGCACCTAGACCAGTTGAGCCAAAACCGAAAAATCAATAGATCACTCATTCTCCCTTTCTTCAGCTGGGATGGTGGTGGGGAGAAGACAGACATGCGATCCATGGCAGGCTGGTCAAGTGAATGCATATCCGTCGTGGTCCGATGAAAGAGGGGGGTCGCTCTGAAGTGGCCGAGTGGCAGCAGCTTTCCCAGCACCACGACCGCTCACCAGCCTCGACCGACGATCAGCATGGTGCCAAGCTGGGTACCAGCATGCTATTATTAGTTTGTCCGTGCTCCGTACGTGGGGCGACAGGACCTGTCAGAACCCCCAATGCCTGACTTCCTGGTCGACTGTCTTGCGCGTGGTAAAGAGATACACAGCGAGCACATTCTGCCTACCTATGGTGTGAGCTGAACCAGATACCCAGGTGCCATTCGATAACAAAGGGACGTGGGAACCTCGATCTCATCTCATGCTCCGACTCGTGCGATCGTCGTGCCGCTCCAGCACTGACGAGCTGCATAGTGATAGTGGGTGTCGTGGTGCTTCCAATGAGAAGCGGCCCGGCGGCGGCATGGGACCTGATCACCGTTCGTGACGCAGTCAGTCAATATGTGCCAGGGTGCAGGCGTAAGCCACTCGGCAATGAGCACAAAGGGAAGGAGAATGGCGCGCATTGGCGCCGTGGTTCGCAGTCGTCGTCGTCGTCAACCTGTTTGCCCGAGTTGCCAGATCGTGGCTCCACAGCACGCCAGCAGGATACAGGCAGCGAGCGATAGAGACCTTGTGCTTGTGGAGGGCCACAGTACAGGTCGCCAGCCACAGCGCAGACGAGTCGAGGGCAGCAACAACGTCTCATTGGCGCATGCCGCGTGATGGCTGATAGGCGGCCTGGCCACAGACCAGGGGTGTCGTGTAGGCGAACAGCCAATCACGATGCCATCATAGACGCCCAACGACCGCCGACACCTGCCTAGTGCCGGACCCGTCCCTCTCTCTTTCCCCTCTTTCCCACAGCCTTGAGCTCTGTAGCCGCCGGCTCCTGCAGCTTTCTCTCCCTCTCTCTCTGTCTGTCTCTGGAGCCCCACTTTCTCGAGGTACCGCGATGAACCTCACCTTGTGCCCAGGTACTCAGCACCGCGCAAAGCACCACTCATCACCACCCCATCACCACAGAGCACCACCCAGCGGGCCCAGGCGTCAGCACAACCCGGCGCCGTCTTCCCTGTCTCCTCGCCTCTGGTTGCTCTGGATGGATGGACGGAGGGCCCGCCCGGAGAGATGAGCACACACGCACATGCCGTCGCCCCAGTCGACCGCCAGTGTGATGCAACTTGCTTCTGTCCGCCATCCACAGCTTGTGGTGCCCTCGATGGCCTCCTCATTGGGTCAGCCCCTCAAGTGACGGGCTCTTGTGCCGCTCCACCCCAATTCGCATGCTTCCATCGGACGGGACAGCCCATGTAGCTCGTTGTGACAAACACGGGAACCAAGGAGAAAGGACGCCGAGGGGTGGCCGCCATGGAAGCGTACCACACTCATCGTTGTCGACCTCTGTTGCCGGGCCCTCGCCTGCGGGCCGTGATCGATGGCCTACCATATAACCCATAGCCTTCCCAACCAACTTGCCCTTCCTTTCCTCTTTTTCTCTCCTGTAGCAAGCTTCCAAATCTCTAATTTCAGGTTCTCGTTGTGTCTCCTCCCCTTTCCCCTTGTGGTTCGTTTTTTGTTCTCCAGAGCTGGCCTCTACCCTCATCGTCTCTAATCCAACAAACAACACGCCAAACCGCCAACACCAACTCACAACCATCAAGCAGAGTTGCCGGTCAACTGGTGTCAAGAGAGACTTTATTTTGTTCCTCAAACCAACACTTTTTTTGTGCCCCCATGATTTCTGTCTGCATCGTCTAATCACCACCACCCCAAACAACTAATCAACGAAACCTGGAGTTTCTTGCTCGACACATCTTCAACACCAGAAAATACACTCATCCCGCAGTTTCGACATAGTCAAATCACCAGCGAAAATGTCTGCCATTCAACTCTCTTTCTCTCTCCGCGTCTCTTCAGGTGTCAAGACCGTCCACCTTCTCGGCTCTTGGGACAACTACGTCGGCCAGCTTCCCCTCTCCAAGGACAAGACGTCCTCCAAGTCCGGTTCCTGGAAGGGCACCTTCAAGTTCCAGGGCTCCACGCTCGAGCCCGGTCAACGCTACTGGTACTACTACATCATTGACGGCTACCACGTCGCCCACAACCCCAGCGTCACGTCCACCGTTGAGCCCACCACTGGCCGCGCCCTGAACATCCTCGACGTCCCCACCGACGGTTCTTCCCGCTCCCACAAGTCTTCTTCGTCCTCATCCAAGTCTTCGTCCAGGTCATCGCACTCCTCGTCCCACAAGAGCTCCTCCTCCTCGTCGTCTCGCCACAGCTCTTCGTCCTCCTCCAGCAAGGACAAGGAGAGGTCCCGCGAGCACCGCTCCTCGCGCCACCGCGCCTCGGGCCTGTCCGTCGACATCCCCAAGGGCCGCCCCCTGTCGACCTCGCAGATCAAGGCTCCCAAGCCCATGTCGCCCCACGCCACCCGTCACATTCTCGACGCCGACTACTGCGACGACGAGACCATCGACGAGCTGACCGCCCGCTTCGGCGCTGCCGGCTTTGATGAGGACGACATGGTCACCGACTTCAGCAACTCGCCCGTCTCCTCCACCGGCTCGTCCCTGTCCTACCGCTCTGACAGCTCCAGCCCCTCGTCGTCCCTGTCTGGCTACTCGACACCCGGCTCCGACGTCAGCTCCTGCACCTGCGAGCGCTACGGCATCACCCGCAAGGGCGAGCGCGTCAAGATCGACTGTGGCGGCGACCGCTGCGGCTACGGCGACTCGAGCTCCGACTGTTCCTCCTCCATCTCCGAGGATGACGAGTACGAGGTCGAGCCCGCGTCGTACAAGAAGCACTCCGTCTCCGCCTCCGGCTCTCGCCGCAACGGCATCGTCGTCCGCTAAACGATGCACGAGACGCTGTGACAGAGGACGCCGGAGGTGCCGGAAGCACACACGCAATCACGCACACACGCACACACACATGAGAGAAAAAGCCCCTTCCCCGGCTGTACATTCCCTTACTCGCTGCGGGCGACGCACTCCGCCCTCTCCCCACGCGCCTTGACCTCGACAGAGGATACAAGGGACGCGCTGGGCGGCCTGATGCTCGCCCGCCCACGTCATCCACAGAGGTGTCGTCGGCAGCGGTTCCGCCCCCGAGCTGGTCCTCGGGGCTTGCCGGTTGTCCTGGCGCCCTCGCTACAAGTGGGTCGATGCTGCGACCCCGCGTCGCCGGTGGTTTCCCGTCGGTCCTGTCGTTTCCGACAGGACGAAGGGGGGACCGCCGGCGGCGTGACGATCACGTCGTTATTTTTTCGAAAACAATCATCAACGTCGGTTTTTGGTTACCCGACTGACAGTGGAGCTTTTCGTCAGGTCCTTCCGTCTTCCGGTGACTGGTCCCCGCCCAGCCTGAGCAAGGTTGAGCAATGGTCGGTCCATCGGAAGGGGGAGACCTGCGGAACCGTGACTCCAGGGTGGATAATGCGACGGGAAGAGGCTTGAGCATGTTCGGGCGAAAGCGCGCTGCTCCCTCCTCGGTTCGCGGGTGGGAAATTGATACAAGTAGCTGGCCTCGACTGGACGGTGGGAAAGTCTGAGCAAGCCGGTTCCTCCCTTGGGCGAAGCAAGAGTCAAGATGCAAGTTGCCGCCCTCAATAGATGACGTTTGAATCTATGCGTGTCATTTGCCATGGGTGATGTAGATATGAACTCGCCGTGGTGTAGTTGTGGTGTGGTAGTATATTGCCGTCGGGTATCTCAGTGGAGCACTGTAGATCTGGACGTGTTATTGGAGGCCAGGTGCTGTACTAGCTCGACGGTTGGGTCTTGACGCTCAAGACGCTGTACGAAGCTGACGGTTTTCAGAGCCTAGGTGCAGGTAAATAGAACGGCGTGATGGAGCTGCTGAACAGTAGGAGTCTCGGTCTACCAAAACAGTGTGAAGTGACAAGTCTCTGCCGTCGGCTACTGCTCAGTAGTACTGGCGTGCAGGGTCGCTTGGCATGGGTACAGATGTGTGTGAACAGAGAGGCAGGCGGTGACCGGGTCGTAATGCAAGGATCATGGCGGTGTTGCTTGTCTGGATGCACCGGGTGAGGAGACTCGCATGGAGGGGTTCTCAATTGCTTGTGAGCATTCTTGCTATGTTTCGTGGTGTATTCTCTGATGCATTCCCGGCGTCTTGGGTATTACGTGCTCTTTCACAGCCAAACCATCACGAGCTCGGGTTTCGGGAGAAAGCAAAGGGGGGTTGTGGCACCAAGAACAGATGCTGTGGAACCCCAACGTCACTTCCCTCCCACTGGACAGACCAGACGGGCATGACGGGGTAGGTTGGGCCAATAATTTGGCGGGGTAGCTGCGAGTTTCAGGGACCAGTTGCTCTATCCCGTCGGTTCGGGGGTGGGCGAGAAGGAGCATACAGGCAGGCAGCTCACCTCCGTTGGAAGAAGGAAGAAGGAATAGGAATACCCCGCCGCCATTTGAAGATGTTTCAGACTCTCACGCGTTCGACATCACCACAAACCTGCCTCCCACCGACCTCGATTCTTGCCAATCTCTACTGGGACATCATCCCGAAAACCTACTACGACTGAAGTACCTGGATACAATTGCGAAAAGCCAACTGCGAACCGTCATCATGGCCGACTACCCCATCATCGACTCCCACATCCACCTCTACCCCTCCTCCGAAGTCGACTCGCTCGCCTGGGCCACCGCCGAGAACCCCATCGCCGCGCAACGCTCCGTGGACGAATACCGTGCCGCCACGGGCAACCCGTCCAACCTCAAGGGCTTCATCTTCCTTGAGACCGACCGCAAGCACGACCTCGCCAGCGGCGCCGCCGACGGGTCTGGCTGGGAGGGCCCCCTCGCCGAGGTCGCCTGGCTCCGCCGCATCGCCGAGGGCACGCCGCGCGAGGGCGAGGGCCACTCGGCCGCCGACGCCTCCCTGTGCCTGGGCATCGTCCCCTGGGCCCCCCTGCCCTCCGGGCCCGAAGTCCTCGACCGCTACCTCGACCGCGTCCAGGAAGTCGCCGGCCCCGTCGCCTGGCCCAAGATCCGCGGCGTGCGCTACCTCCTCCAAGACAAGCCCCACGGCACGGGCATCGAGTACGACTTTGTGCGCTCGCTCCAGCTGCTCGGCCGCCGCGGTCTCACCTTTGACCTCGGCGTCGACCAGCACCGCCGCGGCAAGCAGCAGCTCGAGGACGCCCTCATCATGATCCAGCTCGCCCACAAGGACGTCCCCGACGACGAAAAGGTCACCGTCATCGTCAACCACCTCTGCAAGCCCGACCTGACCGTCATCAACACGGCCGACCCATCCTTCCAGCACTGGCGCAACGCCATGTACTCCCTCTCCAAGTGCGACAAGACCTACATGAAGCTCTCGGGCGGCTTCGCCGAGATGGCCCCGTCGCTGTCCTCCCAGCCGCCCGACGCCATCTTCGAGGCCCTCTTTGCCTGGCTCGGCATCGTCCTCGCCACCTTTGGGCCGCGCCGCACCATGTTCGCCTCCGACTGGCCCGTCTGCACCGTGCGCGACGGCGGCGCCGTCGACGACGCCTCCTGGCGCAAGTGGAAACTACTCGTCGAGCGAATGTGCTACATGGCCACCATGGACCCTGAGGACCAGGCCGAGCTGTTCGCCGGTACGGCGCTGCGAGCCTACGGCATCGAGCTGAGCAAGGATGCTTAGACGCTTGAGGCTTTGGGACCAGGACGAGGGCCGCCACGTGTAACACGGGAGGACGTTGCGGCCATGGGAGATGTGAGTACAAAATGGAAATGTGATACCAGACTTAGCATAGACTTTACTTGCGCTGTAGCAACCACGGAATGAATGGGACAGTATGATCGATGACTGCCGCGGGTCTCTGCCGTGTACCTGAATCGAGACCCTGGTAAGTCTCCAGAGGCCTGGCGAACCCCTTAGCAGAGTTGGTTCCTTGGCCAGACTGAAATCACCCTTGGGTGTGGTTGTCTTTGGTACTGACCACTCTTGAATGGCTCTCTCTGTGATTACGAACCTTTGCTCTCACGACAGAGTTGATGCGCGCTAGCATGCCTGGGCCTTTTTGTCTTTCTAACCAAGTATGGCTCTGGATCTAACTACATCGCAGGGCATCGAGGCACCAATGTGGTCATCAACCTGATACAGTAAAAATGGCAACATTGGAGCATTCAGTGTCCTGCACTGCACCGGCGTTGCGACCAGAGACCCATGCAGGGTGCTGCTCATCGATGCTTCAAGAGGGACCTCCCGCCAAGGGCCCTGCACCAAGGCAAGCGAGCTCAAGCAATCTCCGATCCTTGTTTTAAGCAACAAGAGAAGCTTGTTTTCCCGATCAATATTGCGGGGTTCCCATCAGCCACCATGTGCCGTCAACTGCATCGATCTACGCCCTTGGAGAGATGTACCGAAGCCCGGCGATCCGACCCGCCACCCCTCCAAAGACCCATGGATCACCCGGTTGGTGGAGGAACAGCGCCTTGTCGTTGGAATAGGAAGTTCGCGCCCATGCATGCCCGCCCTCCCTGCACAACGCCGACCTGGGGCCAGGTTGTGATCCCGCCAACAAGCCCTTGCCGGATCCAGGTTCTCCGCGTTGGAAGCAGTAGGATCGCTGCTCTGCGCGGGACCCTGACCTGCCAAAGGGGGTGATGTTGCAGCTGTATCGCCAGACAGTATACTCCTCCGCCGGAAGAATTATGTGCCACGACTAGGAGTGCCAAGCGGCTTTTCGAGCGGAGAACAGCATGCTGACCAGGCGTCTGAGCTGGGAAGACGCAAGCCGATATAATGAGAGCTCTCTGTGTCGCCAGGAGCCCGCCCCGGATGGCACCCATCAACATATCAACACACAGAGATACACCAAGAGGCAACACCACGGCAAAGACCACGACGGAAGAAAAATGACACAGCTCTCCCTCCTCGGCACTCTGCTGCTCCTGGCGTCGTCGGCCGCGGGCCAGACGACCCGCACGACGAGCACGACCCGCACAACCCGCGTCACGACCAGCACCATCAAGTGGCAGGCCTCCGGCGGCGTCTCGTGCCCTCACCCGGCTGTCAACACAGTCTGGCCGACGCCGACGGGCAGCACCTCATACCCGACAGCGTCGGTCATCCCGGCCGGCGCCGTCTTCGACGGCCGCATGGCCCTCTTCGACCGCAAGGGCAGCCCCGGCGACTGCAGCGGCCAGAAGGAGCAGGACGAGGCCGCCGCCGTCTTCATCCTCGAGCCAGGCGCCACGCTGCGCAACGCCATCATCGGCCCCGCACAGGCCGAGGGCGTCCACTGCCGCGGGCCTTGCACCATTGAGAACGTCTGGTGGGACGACGTCTGCGAGGACGCCGCCACCTTCAAGGGCGCCGGCCCGCGTTACGTCCGCGGCGGCGGCGCCCGCGAGGCCAGCGACAAGGTCTTCCAGCACAACGGTCAGTCGATCTCCTCATCTCTTCCTCCCCCCCTCCCTCCCTCCTTCCTACCTCTTTCAACCTCGCAGCCCGTGAACATGGGATGGGATGCTAACGATGACCACATCTTTCAGGCGAGGGCTGGCTTCACATTGACGGCTTCTACGCCAACAAGTACGGCAAGTTCTACCGCTCCTGCGGTAACTGCAGCCAGCAGTTTCAGCGCCACGTCAACATTACCAACTTTGTTGGCATCCAAGGCACAGTTGGTGAGTGACAACCCCAAGTCTCGAGGCACAATGCCCGCAAAGTGTGAAAACAATGGCGAAATGGCTATCGACTAACCTGGATCGAACCCTCAGTGGGCGTCAACCAAAATTATGGAGACACCGCCGAGCTGTCGAACTACTGCCTGGCCAAGGTTGGCGTCGTCTGCACCCGCTACAACGGATGTGTCAAACCCTGTGAGGCGGGAGAGGTTGGCGAGGGCGAGCTCGAGCCTTTCTGCAAAATCAATGGCGATGACTGGAGCTAAGTCCCTAGAAATGGGTTCTTCGTGAATCTGCCTGGGTTGCAGGCCTAGGTGTCCTGTCATAACATTCATTTGAAACCTCTGAAGAAGCGGAGCATAAAAAGACACAATCAAACCATGCCAACTCGAGTGAACCGGATATGTAATCATCTATTTCTGAAAAGCAATGAACAATGGCCCCGGTGATGGCACCATACTCTCGGCAAACCGGCCGATCCAAATCAATGTTTCTCTTCATTACTTTTGCCACATGAATAGCTCGTTCTTCGCCATGACATCCAAGCTCCGCCGTTTGTCAGCCTTGCGTCTTGGTCTCGATGACGGGCGCGACAATGGGGATGGCGCATCCTGACTTGCCCTGACTGTTGCGGATGGCACGACGGTGTTGTCTCTCCTTGCACTTCAATGCATACCCAGGCTCATTGGCTTTGCGCCATTCAATGTGGGCTTCGTACTCCATCTGACTCCGAGTATTTGAGTCTTTAGGTTTCGCCACTGGTCTCGCGAACTGTGTGGGCATAGGGGGTCCAGGAGTCGGCCACTGTAAATGCTGCGGAGGAGGGGGCAATAGGTTGTCAGAGTTGAAACCGGGCCCCAAAGGTCCCAAGCCAACTCCAGGACCCTAGCCGTAAGCAGGAGGAGGCATGGGTAAAGGGCCGTGATAGCCAGGAGGGGGTGGTTGATGCATGACGGGTCCTATGTGAGTCGGTAAAGGTATCAATCCAGGCATCATATGGAAGGGGGTGTCTTGGGGGCCGAAAGGCGGCAGCATTGGTAATGGGTTGTCAGAAAAGCCAAAGGAAGGGCCCGCGAACCCAGGTGGAGGAGGCATCATGGCGCCTTGAGGCCCCGCGATCGGAGGCAAGCTTGGGTTGGGAGCAGGTGTGCAAGGCATGCTAGCATAACCGGCGAGAGGGGCAAATGGAAGTACGCTGGGGACCGGTGGTGCAACCGGCATCGGAACTGAGCTCTCTTGCGCGGCAAACTCAGAACAATCATTTTGCTGAATGTTGTACTGTACCATTTCCCGTAGGCTTTTGCACTCCTTGGCGTACTCAGCCAGACAGCTGATAGCGTCGATGAAAGCCCTCTCTTTGGCAGCAATTCTGCCCCGAGGACTGATCCTATCGTTCGTTGACTTGTTGGCGACATGGGTGGTAGGATTACTAGTTGTAGCGTCGACGATAAATTCTTTTGCGGTAGGATCGAGACTGGTGGACAATTGGTGTGACCTGCCGGTAGGTCTGATGCCAACGCCTGAGTCGTCTGACTGGTCCCGTCGCCAGTGAGATGACCTTCGGGCTTTGCGGCAGTCACTCTCCATCGTTCGCGTACTGATCATCTCCTGCATCTTCTTCTCCTTGGAAGCCTTGCTCAACTTGGCCATGAGTTCGTTGTACTGATCAGCTTTAGATATAGGATTTGTCTTGCGAGCGTCCTGAGTTGGGAAGCCTTCGATGTTAAGTACAGCGGAGTCGGTAAAGATAGCGGCAGACGCGCGGGCTGCCTCATCATGAAGAATACCCGGACTGTTGCAGGGGTTCATCAGGTCTTCGCGGGACTGTGTTCGAGCAGTGCGTGTCTCGTCTGTATCCTCAGGCGCAGGTCGAGTTATTGGAGTACTCGGCGAACACGGGTGATCGGGGTCCTCGATGCTCATAATTTCTGCCATCGGAAAGTCACCGTTGTGAGTACGGCATGTCTTGTTGTCGTAGCATTCGTCATGCTGAAAAACAAAGTCGAAGACAAAAGTCGAAGTCTCTGGTCGTTTTCGGGACGACCGGTGGATATCCAGGAACGCAGAAGCAGCTCGCTTGGCAGGAACTGCAACAGCATCGTCAGCCACGGCAATGCCGCTCAAGAGGCCGACGCTGCTGCTGTGCGTATCTCTTGAACCCTTGATAACCCAGCCATCGGCATCTGAGAATGGGTCTGCGATGAAGTGACTGCTACTGGCGACTCGTACAGGAGAAGCTTCGTGAACGGAGGCAAATTGGTGGGCAGAGTGATAAGCGGGCTCCAAACTGGAGGAACTATTACGACTACACTTCTTTTTGTCAACCGCCGGACCACCATGATCCTCATGAAAGTACATCACTGGCTGGCGCCAGTTGGTGCTGTTGAGAGCCTCAATGAGCTTGGCGTTGCTCTTTGTGGATGAAACAGACATCTTTCGTGCGGTAGTCGGTTATATGTGATACGCGGATTCTTCGCTTCAGTCTTTATGGCCAAAACGGAAAGTTGAATCAAAACTGATCACAGCTTGAGACCGTGTTCCCTGGTGGTTGTCGTGGAGTAGGTTGCTGTAGTTGATGACGAGAGCCTTGAGGTAGTCAAAGTGCTAGCAACAGGGAGAATTTCCAGAGTTCAGTGGCGCGTCAAGAGCCAGGAAGCAAGGCCGTGCCTGTAGGGCGCTGTTCAGCGAAACCTGCCGCCAAGGAGGAATCGTGAGGGGAGCCAACCTTTTATCTTCTTACGGGCTCTTCGGCACGAGAGTCGACAATGGGTCTATGTGCGACAGGGTGTAAAGCTGAATAGGCCTCTCGACAATCGGCACCAATGCCGTCAAGGCCAGGCTTTATTTGTTTCCTGTGGATGCCGTGCTCGGTTGTTTGGGAGGGAGACGTCGCTTCCGAATTAGGGACCACGATAGCGAGATAGAGGCTCAGAGAGGCTTTGCCAGATTATGACCCGAATTGCTGCTTGCCTGGAAACAGAATGCTTGCCAAAAGAAACCGCTCCGCACGCTAAGGGCTGAGGTGAGGGTGTGATGCGTGTCCAAAAAAGAAGTTGGCTCGAGGAGGTGTTGGTTCGTGATGTTAGTGTCGGTGGGAGCCTGATGACAAGCTAGACACCAGGAACCGTTCGACTTCTCAGTCCTGCTGGCGACAAGTTCTTGGCTTCTGGGGGAAGCAACGACAGCGTCGTGGCGCCTTCTTCCGCTGCGCGGATTTGCATACTGCCTTGTACCTTCCAAGACTTGTCACAACTTTCATCATAGGATCGCATAAGATGAGCCGAAAAGACTGTCTTTATCAAGGCTAGACACTGAACAATCTAGAAGCTGATTAAACCTTGACACAAGCTCACCCACAAGGTATTTCCGTTTGATTGGCCACAACGCCAAAAGAATGGATCATACGAACTCATTTTCGACACACGGAATTCTCGTCTCTCCAAACCAAAACCATCGTAAATCACTCTCACGCGAAATCCCCACTCTTCATTGAGATGTGAAGGCCGTACCCAGTGTGCCCACGGTTGCTATCTAGAATGACTGGTGGGTACTACCATTGAGATATGCCTGGAATGCCCTCTGTCGTATGGTCAGTTACGTGCTCAGGGCAGAAAATACAGTCCAGCGTCACTTACGGGGTTACGGGTCTGCATGTAGATAGTGCCTGGTCCTGTGAATTTGCAAACGAGCCCCTCGCCCGAGGAGATGCCCGAGATGATGCCACCCGAAGCCACGCGCTCAATGATGTACTTTGTGTTCCACGCGACAAGGTGTCCATTGTCGACGATGTACTTCTCGCCCGGGATCAACTATTCTGTGTCAGTGACGGAAAAAATAAGGACTCAGCATACAACACTCTCTCACATCTTTACGGATGATGGCGCCGAAGCTGGTGATCCAGAGCAGACCGGTCCCGCTGATCTTATACACAAATAGACCTTCGCCGCTGAAGATGGCTTTGCCGAGACCCTGGCGCTTGTAGTCGCAAATGACGCCCTGCGTCGACGCGACGTAGGCATCCTGGCCTACGGACCAGAATTCTTTGCCCGTCAGGCGGATGCTCGTCAGATCACCCAGCATGGCGGGGGCCAAGAGGACCTCGCCAGGGCCCGTGAACGTTGACTGGGCGAGTTCTGCGCCGGCCACGAGCTTCTTCATACTGAACTTGAGCTGGCCCCGCAGAATCACCGTCGGTGACATGGCAATCATGGTGCCCGGCTTCGCCTTCAGGGGACAACCTACGGCCAGCTGGATGGTGAGGATGGTGTTACTGTCGCGATGGCTGATGCGATAGCTGCCTCCGTTGAACGTGCCGACATCGTCCACGGCAGACGTGCCGGTCGCGCCCACAAAGAGCTCCGGGGGCGGAGCGCCCGAGATGAACTTGACCGGCCCCTGGTTCGGAACTTCATCCTCCTCGTCCTCGTCGCTGTCTTGGTCAAAGGCCTGCCCTTTTCCCGGGGGGTAGGCAGCGGTAGGTGGCCCATCGAAGGATGGCGGCCCATCAAATGCAGCAGGAGGCGGTGGCGTCGCAGTTGAGTGCTGTTGGTTGTCCGGGCTTGCCACTGTGTGCAGAGGAATCTGGCTTTGCTGCTGCTGAAGCTGATCAACCGGGGGCAACGGGTAGTTGTGCTGTTGCTGTTGCTGTGGTGATTGTGACGGCGGAGGGGGGTACTGCGCGGAGCTCTGAATAAGCGGGGGACTTGTAGCCTGTGGAGGAGGCGGGTATGGGTGTGTTCGCGACGATTGTGGCGAGGGCTGTTGTTGGGGAGGTGCTGGGTAGCTGTGGCCTGGCTGAAGTGCTGACGGGGGCGCGGGGTAATGAGTGGCCTCGCCCGGCTGCCCAACGGATGGCGGAGGTGGATATCCCTTTGTTGGCTGCGCCAGAGACGGCGACGGCTGCTGAGGAGGTGGCACCGAGAATGTTGTTGGTTGATGATGCTGGCCCGATTGAGCGCCCTGTGGAGGAAGAGGGTACGAGAACGTAGTTTGCTGAGCGGGAGGGGAGGTTGGGAGCGGGATCGAGGCAGCGGCGGGAGGCGCGGGGTAGCTCTTTCGAGGTACTGGCAAGGTCAGTCAACGGGAACGACAGCGCGAAAGCAAGCTCCGAGAAGTGACGAACTGCCAAAGAATCGCTTGCCGGAGGACGAGGAGGGAGCTATTGGATCGTGAGCATTGGCGCTTGATCTGAGAAGGCCTAGATGGACCTACGGGGGTCAAATTGTTGCGACATGGTGATGATTGCCAATATGCGATGCAGTCTTGT